CACAAAGGGGGCGTAAAGCAAAGCAAAGAACTCAGCCCGATAGCATAAAATCCCTATCAAAAAAAATCTTTGAAAGGGTCCTAAAAAGAAAGATCACCCCCCATCAAAAAAACCCTCTATTACAAACCAGGGCAACATGGGTTTGAACAGGTCGCCCTGTCTGTCTCAATATTGGTCACTACGACAAAGCTGAGCACTAGAAGACAAAAAGAAGCAGATGTAATTATACAGTTTTTTGCAAAAGTTTCGACAAGTGTGCCCTGGGTAATAGGCCAAAATTGCGTGCTAAAGGGTAACAGGAAAATTTTGGTCGAGGTCATAAATTTCCTCACAAACAGAACACAGAGTAGTAGTCAACAGAGTAAAGCCCGAGGCAGCTAGGGTTAAAAAAGTTTGTTAAACAAGGACAGTACTTGCTCCATTTTTTCCCTCACCCTCTATCTGACGAGAAAAGGATGTCACCCACGCACCTTTGTTTCCTTTGCAGATGACGCCCAAATCTGCATGACAGTGTCTTCCATTGCAGACATGAAGGCTCCAGGCGGACATAAACCAAATCTTTCTGGGGGCAGAAAACAATATGAGTTCAATGATGAAAAATTTCAATTACTCAGTATGGAAAAACCGAGGAAAAAATTTTCCAGAGTCAAAACAATTTTGGCCCACAAAATAGGCGAAACACCAACGTCAAAGCCCTGGGAGTGTCAGTCGGGGATCTCCCCTTTAAAGGACAAAAAGTTGTATCAATGCATTGCTAAAAAAATAAAGGATGGAAAAGAACCTTCAAAATGGGGATGCCAAGGCCCATGTTTCATCTTCAGGTCACTTTTTTCATCTAGGCTGGAAATTCCCTGCACAAACAGATTTTTCAAGGCAGGTGAAATGCTGACCTAAAAAATGTACAGGAAAACTTCTGGCATGCATAACAGAGTAAAAACCTAAATTTCTGGGAGCGCTTGGGTTCCTGACCTGTATTCCCTGGAATGCAGGCGGGAGATACACTGATTTATACACCTGGAAAATTAGAGGGACTTTAAAACCCTGCACACAAAAAACCCTCACTCGAAAGCAAAAGATTGGGGAGCGATGCAACACCCCCCCAATAAAAAGCGGGGGTTTGTCACTAGCACTTTAAAAGAGCCCATCACTAAGGTCAGGGGCCTGAGATTTTTTCAACTGCCCCCCAGCAAAATTTAGGGGGATTACCAAAGCCCCCTGGCGTCTTAAGTGGTTTTGGACAAGCACTAAAGGGTATGACCCCCCCCCCCCCGGGCTGTGGTGAAAGTTGGTTTGCATGCACCCAGGTAACGCTGGTTGAAAAGGCTTGATCCCCCAGGGGGCCTGGTCCGACTGGCCCATGGGGCGTTGACCCGGGAACTCTCCAGGTAAACTCAGGTAAAAGGAAAAACATGAATTTACGTGGACCCCATTTAAAACGTCACTTCAATGCGACCAATTATGTAAGTAATTTATGTAAGTGCGTTTGTACTTGTATGTTTGGGGGTTGAAAGGGAAAATCTCTTTACAAATATTCCTTAGGGAAAAAATTCGGTCAGTACGGGCACCGAACATTTTTCTGGAATGAAGAAATATCTTTAAAACCGGGGGGTCCATGTATAGGAAATTTTATATTAACCCAGAAAAAAGGGAAGGACTGGAGGAATGTCAAATAGGGCTTGAGGTAAAATCAAAAAAATTTGGGTATGAACTTCTGTTGTGCTATGTGTTTCCCTTTTTTGTGTGGCTTTTCTATATTATTTTGGGGCACGGGTATGTACAGTGGACCCCGCCTTACGAACCCTCGAAATTACGTTAAATCCCCCATACGAAACATTTGACGCAATAATTTTCCTCGTCTCACGTTTTAAAATCGTTTGTGATTGTCCGGGACCGGGCCCACGTGTGGCCCCGCCTGTTTACAAAACCCCCCCGTGCGGTCGCATCTATGCAAATTTTGGTAGTTTCACATTTCCCAGTGTTTTTTGTGCTTGCAACGCAAAATAAGTCACCCTGGACCCCAAAAAAGCTTCTAGTGCCTCCCCCCCCCGTGGTAAAAAGGGGGAGATTAGTATGGAATTTAAAAAAGGATTAAGGAAAAAATGGCAAGTGGCTTGAACTGCAACCTTCACGGATGAAAATACCCTGAACAGCTACTGAAACCTTTTTGGGCAACTGTACAAAGACAAAGTTATGGCTTTTTTAGGAAAGTTTAAAGGCGGGAGGTACGAGCTCTATGGACATACAGTGGACCCTCGACTTAGTATTATCCCTTCCTGAGAGCTCAGTTAGTCAAAATAATCGTTAGTCAAGTTTTTTTTCCCCAAAGAAAAAATGGGAAAACAAAATTAAACCGTGCAAGCACCCAAAAAAATTTAAAAAAATTTTTAACACTGAAATATTAATTTTAATTTCACCAAAAAATGAAAAAAGACTGACCCGTTACATGACACTTACCCTTTTTTGAAGATTGGTGATGCTGATGGGGGTGGGGGAGGGGGAGAGTGTGATGGTCTTGTGTTTTGAAGGGGAATCCCCCTTTCCATTTGGTTGGGTGGCAAATCCTTTTTCGGGGTTTCTTTTCCCTTTTTTTTTAATGCTGCTGGACCAGCTTGAGTCATGGACCCCTGTTGACAAATATCTGCCATAGGGCCCGACCTCCCCTTTTCCCTTTTTGACATTCTAAAGTGTTTCACAACATTTCTGTACCCTTTAAAACACTTGTTCAGGTTTCAGTCCTTCACTGTCTATGTATCCTTGAATTCCTCCCACATATTTTTAGCTGCTTTTTGGTCCAAATGGCAGCCTCACCATGCCTTATACACTATGTATGAAACTACGATTCTTAAATCTCTCAAACCCAAACCCTTTGGGGCCTTAAATTCACTCACTCACAACTAGTTGCGGGGCATTTTTCTAATTAAATTTCATGACAACTTCCTGGGCCTTTTCACATATGATTGCTTGAGAGATGCTATCTCCTGCTATTCTGTTTTTCGTTTATCCATCCAATAACACTCTCTCAACATCTTTATCACTTGCGATCTCAGTTTCGAAAAACATAGTTGCACCTTTGGCAAGAACGCTTCCTTGATTGCCGTTTTCTTGGCCACAATGTAGCGATGGTTGATTGGGGTTTTGTGTACAGCCTGGCCAGCTCGGAGACATGCACTCCACTTTCATACTTAGCAATGATCTCTTTCTTCATATCCATAGAAATTCTCACCCTTTTTGCTGTAGGGTTGGCACTAGAAGCTTTCTTGGGCCCATGGTGACTTATTTTGCAGGTGCAATCCACTAAAAGGTGTGATAATATGAAATGTTCCGATTGTATGCTTGGAAGGGGACCGTGGTGGCTGGCTGGCTTGAAAACACTGGCCAGAAGTGGACGCGCTCAGACGGAAGGATAGTGTTGGTCGAGTTTTTTAGCGTTAATCGACGCAAAATTTTTGCGATAAAATGTATCGCTAGTCAGATTTATCGTTAATAAAATGCCATCGCGGTCGAGGGGTCCACTGTATTTTGTTGTGAGATCAAGAGGTCCAGTGACTCTCAAGCTGGTCCTAGTGGCATTAAATGAAGGGAAGCAAACCTCGGAAAAGGACTTGTTACCTGGTCATAATTGGAAGGGGATTCCCCTTCCAAATAATAAACTTCCACACTCTCCCCCCCTCCCATTTCCCCTCAATCATCACCAGATCTTCAATAAAGGTAAGTGTCATGTATTCTATTTTAGTAGAGTAGTAATTGTGATTCTTCTTCAGTTTGTATTAAAATTTAAAATTTCATGTGGTAAATTTTTTTTTTTTTTTCTACTTTGGAGTGTCAGGAATGGATTAATTTCATTTCCATTATTTCTTATGGGGAAAATTAATTTGGCTAACAATAATTTCGGTTATGATGAGCAATCAGGAATTTATTAATATCGTAAGGCGGGGGTCCAACGTACTTTTTGAGGGCGAATCAATATATTTTTTTTATTATTATTTTCATCACACTGGCTGATTTCCCACCAAGGGAGGGTGGCCCGAAAAAGAAAAACTTTCACCATCATTCACTCCATCACTGTCTTGCCAGAAGGGTGCTTTACACTACAGTTTTTAAACTGCAACATTAACACCCCTCCTTCAATATCTATGAGTGAATATTTCATGGATGGTTAGCATAACAGTCGTGCTTTATAACCTTGCAATATTTGTAGACTCACATTAACAGAAAGTTCACAGGAGTCACAAAACTACCTATCTGTTGTCGATTAGTAAGTAGACACCTGAAGGATTTTTCCCAGGGGTCAATGCCCCTGCAGTCCAGTCCAATACCAGGCCTGTTACATCAAGACCTGATCAACCAGGTTGTTACTACTAAACTGAATGAAGTTTAACCTATGAATAGCAGCTTGGTTGACCAGAAACTGACTCGAGAAACTTATTAAGTTCAGTCTTAAAAATAATAAGGGTCTATTTCTGTTGATGATCTCCCCTTCTTATGTTTGATAGGAGGCATATGAAGGGGTTTTCTCATTAGAAATAAGCAATATCAGGAACACTGGGGAACAGAGTGCACCAACAAGTACCAGATGCTCTCCATACAACAGGGGAGAAGTAAAAAAACTTTTGAGGGAGATTTTTTTTTTTTTAATGAACTGGCTGTCTCCCACCAAGGCAGGGCAACCTAAACAAGAAAAACAAAAGTTTTTCCCTTTTTTAACTTTAGTAATTTATACAGAAGGGGTTACTAGCCCTTTGCTCCTGACATTGTAGTTGCCTTTTATGACATGCACAGCTTACACACGAAGTTCTTTTCTACTTCCCCATGGAGTTTTGATTGAGCTGGATACATCAAAAGCAATGGGACCTGACAATGTGTTACCATGGATTCTGCAAGAGGAAAAAGATTCACTGGTTGAACCATTATGATCTACAATAAATCAATGAATACATGACAGTTGCCAGAAATCTGAAGACAGCAAACATACTACCTATTTCAGTCATGTGTTACTTAATGATGGGGATACGTTCTGAAAAGTGTCGTTAGGTGATTCTGCCACTTGTGCGAACGTTAGAGATGTACGACGCTGCTGCCAATGTAAAAACATACTGTTTTACAGTAAACTATTTTTCTAAGTAGAAAAAGAACACTCTAGAACAACAATAAAAAGTACAGCATACTAAATACATAAACCGGTAACACCGTTGTTATCATCATTATCAAGTATTATGTAATGTAAATAATTGTATGTGATATACTTGTCTACAATTGGCAGTGCATGGGACCACTGTTTCCCATGCACTGCTATTTGTATAATGACAGTAGTATATGCGGTCAATGATGCACCACATATACTGCCGTATAAGAGGTCTGTCACTGACTGAAATGTCGTTATATAGTGCATATTTGGGAGTATACCCGGAGGGTGCTCTGAGGTCAACACTCCGTAGCCGGGGCCACAACCTTGCCTTGCAAGACTGCATTTATGAAAGAAGGCAGATGAGCTACAGACTAGATTCTCACACTTGCATACCTTGCAAGGTAATGAAGCATATTGTCATGGGGAGTAGTAATTTGTAATAGTAGTAGTAGTATAGTAGTAGTAGTAGTATAGTAGTAGTAGTAGTATAGTAGTAGTAGTAGTAGTAGTATAGTAGTAGTAGTAGTAGTATAGTAGTAGTAGTAGTAGTAGTAGTAGTAGTAGTAGTAGTAGTAGTATAGTAGTAGTAGTAGTAGTAGTAGTAGTAGTATAGTAGTAGTAGTAGTATAGTAGTAGTAGTATAGTAGTAGTAGTATAGTAGTAGTAGTAGTATAGTAGTAGTAGTATAGTAGTAGTATAGTAGTAGTAGTAGTATAGTAGTAGTAGTATAGTAGTAGTAGTAGTATAGTAGTAGTAGTAGTATAGTAGTAGTAGTTGTTGCAACCCCTGAATGGGTTGCAATAATGATTATGTATATATATAATTATTACCTTTTCATTTAATTTTATATTGCTTATATTTGCGATAATAGCTAAATCGTAAATGTATTGTTTTATATTGTTATTTGACGTAGTTTCCTTTGTTAGGTAGGATGTAACATAATAAGTGCTCAGTTCAAGTCTTGATTGTCAAACTACTGTAATTATCGCTCCTTGCTCGTTATATTGCCGGCTTCTTGCTGGGCGACTGCTGTCCACGGAGCTATCACGTGATCGAGGGGGGGGGGTGTCCTCACCTCGCCTAAAGTATTCAGTCTGATCTAGACTCTCTTGGTGGTTGGACAGATTGTCTGTCTCATTATTCTTGTTAGTTCTGTAGAACTCTGTTCACAGAACATTGTATAGACTTAGTGATTTTCGACGTTGTATTGAGGTTCTCTCTCTCATAGACACTGAGTAACTCAGGACCTGAGCTGTAACTTCTCACTTAACTTGTACTGGTATCTGTGTATTATCACAGTCGGGGATTTTCTTACGCTGAACTTAGATTCAGTAGTATGGGAGTTTTGTGACTTTTATGGAGGATCTGCAGATGGTCCCTACTTAGTGTCGTTATATTATCTCCTTGTTCCTGATTCAGTGTCGCAGTTGCTTGTTATATTGCTATTGGGCTTAGCATTCTTTTTATTGTTCAAGCAGACTGTTCTGATTGCCAGTTGGTCAAGAAGTTAGTTTATGTGAGGACTTTGTCAGTCACTTGTTTAAGTCTAGTTGAGTCGTTAGACATAACGAACTACTTGGAGCACTTACACGCATACACAAACTTGTACATATTTGTAATATCTTATTAAATGTTAATGTACCAGACGGTACTTAAGAATTATAAATGTGATATGTGCTTTCAGCACAATAATACTGTAAACGAGAGATGTGATATTATTTTGATTACTGTGATTAATTTAATTTAATTTGATAATATACCTCTAGACAACTTAATGATTAATAAATTTATTAAATTTTAATTTCTCTAGTTAGTAGCCTACCAGTTGTAATCCTGAAGCACTATTGAATAATACTGAATTTTAATGGATAATTGGACAAGGATACTGACTGTACTTGTTACGAAAACCCAATAACAGGCTGGATGCTAGAAGGGCAGTCCTTTCTAGTATTCACTGGAGATCTCTAAGCTTTTAGAATCGCGTTTTTTGTAACAAATGGGGGCCTGTCCGGGATGCTCTTGATTCAAGGTGTTGGAGAAATTGTCCATTTTGAAATACTAGTAACTGATGATCAAACACTCTGAGTACTTTCCTAATCTGAAGACTTTGAGTTTAGTCTTGTACAACATGCCAGGTGGATTTATGTACCTGACTGAGTCTCTTGATCCAAGGAGATGAAAATACTGTTTATGAGTTCTAGCTCTAAGACAACCAACACTAAAATTCCTATTAGGATTATAGTCTCCAATAATCACTCTCTCGTAGTACAATTATTTTCGTGATGTATGCCAAAGTGAAACAGTTAATTGATACTCTGACTTTGTCTGAGTTAAGTACATTAAAACTTCAGACGTGTTGGCAAGTAGCCAAATATCTCGGTGTGACGTATAACAGGAATTACACCGCAGAAACTGTCAGAGTGTTAAAGATATATTGTTTCCTGCTCATACAGAGATGTCTGATTATGATTCAGATTCAGAAAGCCTAGTGTCACAATTAGGAAGTATGACTATTTGATGAAGAAGAAAGAGCAACTAAGGCAGAAGTGAGCCTAGTGTCTGAGCCTAGTGTAGATCAGTTCTCGCTCACACCTTCCCTCCTAACTGTTAGCATGACACAGCCTAATACTAGTACAGTGTATGCTACACCTGTATCTACTTATCCTAGACCAGATCTACTCTCTAGATGCCTGAACGAAGTGTCCGACCTAAGAAACGTCCAGACCATGTTAATTTCCTTACTCCTCCATTACCCACTAGTCTATTCTCTCAGGAACAGTTTGAGAGGTTGGAACGCCTCATTATGTTGCAAATTGCACAAATAGAGGCACAGAGGAAATTAAACAAAGAAGATTTCCAAAGAGAAAAATGTTCGTCTGGGAAGACAACAGACTGATATATCACAGGACCCATTTAATGTGCAGAAAGCTGCATCCATGGTTCTAAGTTTTTTGAAAGTGACTTAGACACTATTTTGATGTGTTTGAGAACCAGGCACGTGCTATGAACTGGCCACGTAAGCACTGGGCAACATTGTTGCATACAGCGTTGACAGTAAGAGCTCAAACTTGTACTGCTGCTTTACCATTTGCCAAGTACATTAGTTATGACGCTGTCAAACAAAACTATTCTAGAGACATAACTTGTTACCTGTAAGTTATCAACGAGCATTTCGTACGTTACAACGACGACAAGATCAAACTTGTGTAGACTTTGCTCGTGAGAAAAAAGTTGCATTTGAGAGACGGTGTAGAGCTGCTAAATGTAACAACTATGACAGCCTTGTTCAGTTGTTACTACACGAAGAGTTTAACAATTGTATGTCTGCTGACATACAAGAATATCTGATCAATCATACTACCTCGGATATTCTGGAAACTGCAGCATTAGCAGACAATTACGAGATTTCTCACAAACTTGTACGTACTAAAAAACAGAAAAACAAGGTAACTAAAAGTTGTCCTAGAAACTGGCAACCTAAATCAGTGCTCATTGCCGGCCTGATGTACCTGCTACTGTAACTTCTCGTATCTTTACCAGGAAAACTCACAATCCTGAATCTGTCTCTGTGGCTAGACAGAAATCTGATATCGAGAAGAAGAAAGTTAAATGTAACTATTGTAACAGAAAAGGACATGCTAGAGAGTATTGCTATAATTTAGAAAGAGATACGAGAAGCAGTCATGCGGCTGGCGCCCCCACACAAGTCGTATCCTCTTCCGAGCAACAAAGGCACCAAAATCCTAGTAATACCTCTGATCCTACTGTTTTAGATAATGTTACTCAGGATAGATGACTAGCGTCAGAAAGTGTATCTGACGAAAAGATTCGTTCAGCCATGGGTCCTTACTTTTCGAGATGTAAAGTAGGATTTGACCAATCACATCTAACTGAAATAGTTACTTTCAGAGACACTGGCAGTTATCTCATGTTATTAAGAGAAGATGTACTGACCATAACTGACGATACCTATACCAAGATAGATGTATTGTTAGAAGCCTATGGAGGGGCTATTATAAAAGTGCCTCTGCACAAAGTTTATATTCAAACAAGCTATTATACTGGTTTAATTTCAGTGGGTATATCCAGTGGTGTATTTTCCCATCAGGTCAGTGGACTTGTAGATAGGGTTGTTGAGGTGGTTCGGACATGTAGAGAGAATGGAGCGAAACAGAATGACTTCAAGAGTGTATCAGTCTGTAGTGGAAGGAAGGCGGGGTAGGGGTCGGCCTAGGAAAGGTTGGAGGGAGGGGGTAAAGGAGGTTTTGTGTGTGAGGGGCTTGGACTTCCAGCAGGCATGCGTGAGCGTGTTTGATAGGAGTGAATGGAGACAAATGGTTTTTAGTACTTGACGTGTTGTTGGAGTGTGAGCAAAGTAACATTTATGAAGGGGTTCAGGGAAACGGCAGGCCGGACTTGAGTCCTGGAGATGGGAAGTACAGTGCCTGCACTCTGAAGGAGGGGTGTTAATGTTGCAGTTTAAAAACTGTAGTGTAAAGCACCCTTCTGGCAAGACAGTGATGGAGTGAATGATGGTGAAAGTTTTTCTTTTTCGGGCCACCCTGCCTTGGTGGGAATCGGCCAGTGTGATAATAAAAAATAAAAAATATCCCATCAGGTCAGTGGACTTGTTGATAGGGAACGATATCCTTCATGCTGGTATATGTAAAGAACCACTTGTGATTGATAATAGCACTGATGATAATTATGCCATTGAAGCTTGTAGAGAGAAACCTATTTTATTTCCTC